GATCCATCTGCTCTATGTTTTACTTTGTAAACCCATCTGCTTCCTATAGGTTTAACATGAGGTGGAAGTTCTACCATGACCCAAGTGCCATTGTGTGCAAGAGCATCTAACTCAGTTTGCATAGCTAGTTTCCAATTTTCATTCTTACAAGCCTCCTCATAATCTTTAGGCTCAGTATCATGAGTAATAGAAAGACTAAAAGACTTGTGATTTGAAGACAGATAATCAAAAGAATGAAAAGAAGAAATAGGATAAGATATACCTGAAGTGAATGATGCAGCCAAAGTATTTGATGAATTGCACACATAATCCTTGAGGTGAGAAGGTGTGTGTTTGACTCTATTGGGTCTGATAGATGGTGGTGAGACACTAACATTATTATGAATATCAAGGGTGGTTAATGTATCAGCTGGTGTATCTACTGATGTATCAACAAATGTATCATCTGATGAAGGCTCATCTGATTGTGAGGGAGTTACATCAGGAATGTTTGTGATACAATCATCATGTGCTGAAATGGTGTTCTCAAAAGATGAAATATCAGTGGATGGCTCAAGACTGACATTTTCATGAGTATGATACTGCCAATTTGGTTTAAGTGGAAAGATGTGATCATGATGTGTCACATGTCTAGATATAAAAGTTTCACGTGTGTTAATGTCAAGCAGCATGACACCTTTTACATTTTGCTTGTAACCCAAGAAAACACACTTCCTAGCCCTATGATCTAGTTTAGTACGATGTACCTGCAGGGTAGATGCATATGCTAGGGTGCCAAAAGTTTTCAGATTTTCCAAATCAGGATCCTTATCAAACATACACTGATAAGGTGATTTGTGTTTTAAAATTCTAGTTGGTACACGATTCATAATGAAAACAGCATGATTAACAGCAAATGACCAAAATTTCTTGGGCAAATTAGCTTGGAATAGAAGGGCACGAGCTATGTTAAGGATGTCTTGGTGTTTTCTTTCAACCCTCCCATTTTGTTGAGGAGTTTCAACACAACTTGTTTGGTGGATAATGCCCTTAGAATTATAGAATGTGGACATAGCAAATTCTGGTCCATTGTCACTTCTAATGCATTTGACATTTAAATGATATTGAGTTTCAATCATCTTAACAAAGTTTATGACATGCTGCCTGGTCTCTGCCTTAGATTTCATCAAAATGACCCAGGTAAACCTGCTAAAATCATCTACAGCAGTCAAAAAGTATGAATGACCATTGTGTGACTTAGTGGACAAGGGACCCCAAACATCAAAATGCACTAAATCAAATAAATGAGAAGCATGATTGAAACTGTTATTAAAAGGTAATTTCTTGTGTTTAGCATAGTGACAAACATCACAAATGCTATTTTTGTCTACATCAATAAAAGGAAAGGAAGCATGCAGTTTTTCTAATCTAGTCGAGGACAAGTGTCCAAGTCTAAAATGCCATAAGGCACTGCAAGGAATGGTGACAGATACATTGTTTAGACTAGAAGAGACAGCAGGTTTGGATGATAGAATTAGATGATACAATCCATCAATCTTTTCAGCTGAACCAATCATCTTCAGGGAGGAAATTTCCTGGATAAAACAATCAGAAGCACGAAAAATGACATTGTATTGATTAGTTTGACAAAGTTTGGGCACAGAAATAAGGTTGACTGAAAATTCAGGGATATATAGAACATCAGGAATATGAAAACAATCAGAAAATTTAACAACACCAATGAATTTGGCCAGGGCAAATTGACCATTTGGTAACTTAACATGTATAGGTTTTATAGAATTGACACTATGGAACCAAGCTCGATTAGAGCAGATATGATCACTGGCACCTGAGTCTATTATCCAAGAATGAACTGCAGCACACTTATAAACAGAAATTTGTTGATTACTTGGAATGTTGACAGATGTGTTACCTGTAACTGTAGATGAGTAAACTTGATTGGAGGTAGCAGTAGATGAACCTTGTTGAATGTTAGATTGTTGAAGAAGGTTCACAAGTGTGGCATATTGTTCTTGAGTTATGGGGAGCTGTCCATCTTGATTACGTGAAGCTGAAGCACGATCACCATTGTCATCTGGTTCTTCAGTTGTACTAGCATTATTTGCAGTTGAACCTTTGCCAAAATGAGGTGGAAACCCATGTTTCCTATAGCAAACTTCAACTGTGTGACCAGTCCTGCCACAATGTGTGCAAATCTTGGACTTTGAAGCATTAGATGCTGTATTTGAAGTACCACCTTTAGCACTGAACTTCTTGTATCCTACAGCATTGATCAAGGCTTGAGAATCTTCTGAAATAGCAAAATTGCCTTGGCGTTCATGTTGAAGCACCATAGAGAAGATCTTGTTCATGGAAGGGAGAGGATCCATGAGTAAGATTTGTGACTTAACAACTGCAAAATTCTCATTTAAGCCGGTAAGGAATCTTATAATATACAGCAAATTGTGATGATTTCGAGCATCTCTCATGGCAGCACAAGAGCATCGAACACGACATGTGCACTGTGGTAAAGGCATGTATATTTCCAATTCTTCCCAGAGAATTTTCAGTTCAGAATAAAATTCTGTTACAGATTTACTTTCTTGCTTTAAAGAGTAAATTTCTTGATAGAGTTCAGAAATACGAACCAAATCACCTTGTGAAAAGCGTTCTTTCAAATCGTTCCAAACATCCAGCGCATTCTCCATGTAAACGATTGACTGAGCTATCGATTCGGAAACTGAGTTGATAATCCATGAAATTATCAACATGTTGCAGCGGTTCCATGCGCGGGTTGAAGGATCGAATGAATCTTCAGGAATGGGAATTGAACCATCGATGAATTCAAGTTTCATCTTGGCGCCAAGAGCACGACGCATCGAGCGTGCCCAAGAATGATAGTTACCGCCGGTGAGAGGTGGCACAACCTTGACAGTTGCTGGGCCATCACTGGGGTGAACGAAATACGGACTTGTAGGATCGAGTTGAGGGTCAATGGAAGTGTTGTTGCGTGGTGGTGCCATTGACAAGAAAGAAGGAAAGAAAAAGAGTGATAAAGTGATGATCACGCAAGAACGATTGTAAGAATCACGTAAGGAAAAAGAAGGTTGGATCGGAATGGCGGTGATACCATGTTAGAAACTATAAACCTCCATTAGAGGAGAAAGAAAAAGAAAGTGAAACAAGAAGAGATGAAGCTATACTGTATTATTCAGCTTGGAAAGAAAAGTATACAATTAGTTCTATATATACACAACAATGCAGCTAACTCATTGTAACAGAATAACAGAATGCAGCTAACTCATTGTAACAGAATAACAGAAAAATAATGACCAATGTATAATTTCACATGCCCCCTCTGTAACGATGCTGAAGAAGACGAGTGGCACGTAATGTTCGACTGCCCGACAACAAAACATAGTTGGCAGATTTCTGGACTGCTACCCTTGCTTGAACCCAGACTGCAGACCCACACTAACATCAAAGGCATTATCCTGGATATGTGCTACAAGGAGGATCGATTGATAGTGGGGAATTCACGATGCTGCTGGAAGCTATTTGGCAGAACCGTAACAACATGGCCTGGAACAACGAAGGATCAGAGGCGACACATATTGGTATGACTGCAGCTCAAAGATGGAACGAATGGTATATGGCTCAGAATGTGCAGCATAATCTGGACAATAGCAACACGAACGATGATTGGATTCCTCCTCCTCGAGATAAACTTAAATGAAACGTCGATACAACATCAGTTCAGGCACCACAAATCGAGGTTGGATCGTCCATAACAGCCTTGGTAATTTCAATTACACAGGTATGACTTGGAATAATGGTATTCTATCTATTTTAGAAGCCGAGACTTTGGCCCTCAAGTAGACGATCCACAGAGCTATTATGTTACAATTGGAGAACCTTATCTTCGAAAGGGACAGTCAAAGTTTGATACACCTCATAAACTCAAATTACAATGGTGGTTTAGAATTTAGTTGTATTTTACATTCCATTAGATCGTCACTTCATGTTTCCCAAAACTTTTAGACCAAGTTTGTGAAGCGTCAAGCAATTCGACAACTTATTCCTTAGCAAAAGCCTTCAATTATTGGTTTAGACGTAGCTCTTTTAACACTATTTCTCTTTGTATTGAACAAATTCTGACTAATGAAATGAGTTGATTTTGTTTTGCTAAAAAAAACAAATGATTACACGTGATTACCATTTTTTTTATAAAAAGAAAATTTATATGAAGAAGTTATTAACACTTTTTAATAACGTTAGAACATAAAATTTAATGAGATACAGAGCACACCTCTCTCTCTCTCTCTCTCTCTCTATATATATATATATATATATATATATATATATATATATATATATATATATATATATATATAATTAAAAAATTGTTAATAAATAAATTAAATGAATTATATCTTTAATTATGGACTGGATTTTTCAAAGATAATGTTGGTGGATTATTAATGGATTGTTTTAATCTATTTATTAATAATTCTATCAATATCCAACCATTAATGTACTAACAATACACCTTAAAACCAGGGTCCAAGAGTTCGATTAGTGCCTCCATTCTACTTCTTGTAACCACCATCAAAGCAACAAGGATTGCATTGCCTTGATAGCCAAGGGAGGTTCTTAGTTCAGTCAGGGTGGATACATGTCTAGGTTCGGGCTCAATAATTTCTTTTTTTGGTATACATGTGTTAAAAAAACAAAAAAAAATTTAAAAAAAACAAGAAAAAAGGGTTAACGAAACGAAAACGGGAAAGAGAAGCGCCACAGTTTGCCACAGGTAAGATTCTTTGTTTTCTTCTTCTTTGGCATCTAGTACCACAAAATTACCAGAATCTAAAAGAAGTGCCACTGGATTCTCTGGTTTTTTTTAAGAGAATTTGATGTTGTAGACCAAACAACAGTTTTTATATTTAGAGTGAGAACAAGGTTGCCGGTGATGTTGTTCAATGTTAATGTTTCAGATGAATCATTGATTGGATTGAGCCTATTTACAACTCAAACCACTGTTTGAATTGGGATTTTCTTGTACCAAATCCCAAAGTAACGTTTATTGGAATTTCCTGGGGGGTGAAGAATCCAAGTTCATAGGTCCTGCCTTTGGAAACTAAGGTGTTTCCATCATCTATTAGGGAAATGGACTGAGATATAGAGTCAACTGATAGAGAAATTTGATAAAAATGTATAAGTATATAATAAGCATGGAAAATTATAATCATTTTGATGAAATACATAATGTTCATCAAGTTGTTGTATGTTTTCAAGTACTATGCAGTTTTTCTAGCTACATATATTAGAGGCAAAAAGGAAGATGAAAAGGGTATTTCTAATGTTTTGCTTTATAAATCAAGTAGTGGTATATGTTGGGAATGGTTATGATTAAATAATTGGAAAGAGTTATGTTTATGTTAATGCTTTAAGTTGAATTGGAATTTTTATGAATCGAAACTTTTTATGTTAATGATAAGTTGTTGTTGACTTGTTTTTTTTTTTTTAGAGATGAGGAGATTTTTGGTTGAATCAGAATCAGAACTAGAATTACTGTCTAATGTGGTTAATGAGTTTAACTCAAATGAGATTGTGTGTGATCCAGATCATAGGAAATAAATTAATGAGTATGCTCTAGATATTCAAGACAAAGTGTGGAGGACATATATATTGAAGGGCCCGATGCAATCAGATATGCCAAACTTTCCTCATACTCAATTTTGAAGTGTTAAAAGAGCATTTAGTAAATCATGGTATAAGAATTATACATGACTAGAATACAGTGAGATCAAGGAAATCATGGTAAAAGAGCATTTATTGTTTTTATTGCTTTCTCTTTAAGAAACCCGGGAGGACCGAGCCCTTTGATTTTGAAGTCTTCACTAAAAGCAAATATAAAGATTGGAAGCATGTATCTCAAGGCTTGAAATATCACGTTGGTAGTCATAATAGTTTGCACAACTCATGTGTTAAGAACTACGATGATTATAATAATCAAAGACAAAGTGTGGCAAGTAATTAGTTTGCTAAAGCAACCAAGAAATCAGAAGAATTATATAATATTCGTTTAAATTATTCTGCGGATTGTTCAAGATATCTCATTGCACAAGGCATGGCTTTCCGTGGCCATGATGATCCTCTATTTCTCTAAATAAGAGCAATTTTAGAGAGATGATAGATTGGGTAAAATCTAAGATGAACAAGTGAGCGATGCTTTTGACCGTGATGGAAAAAATTGCATAATGACTTCCAGTGACATTCGAAAGGAGCTTGCAACATGTTGTGCACATGAAGTTACCAAGGTGATTATTCTCCGTACTTGTTGATGAGTCACGTGATTGTTGGGTTTTGGGCTCCCATCCTATGTGGAGAAAGGCCCAATATGTGCAAGCCCATGTGTCTCACTTATCTAAGTGGAGAGGGGTCAATTAGGGTAAGAGTGAGAGGTCTGATTTAGGCAAGAGAGGCAAGAGAAAAGTGAGAGAAGAGAAGAGACACAGATTTTCGCACATACACATAGCAGCTGCACTAGAATCGCGATATCTCCTTCGTTCACCGTCCGATTTGGCTGAAATTTGAACTGCAGCTTCCTGATATCCGGTTCTTTAATCTGAACGGTGTGATCGGCGATCAGAGGTCTGAGGTGGGAGATACTGGCCACGCACAGTAGCAGCCCTTTGGAGTTTTCTGGTTCTTCTTTGTTCTCTATTTCATGTTTTGTTGCCATGTTGTTTTGGATGATTGTTGAGCACGATTTGTGCTACATTTGAGACTCTCTTGTACCCATACATTGATCATAGTGGAGCTTGTTTACTGGCTTGTGCCCGTGGTTATTTTACTTCTCACTTTGAGAAGGTTTTTTCCACGTTAAAAATCTTTGTGTCTCTTTGTGTTGTTGATTTTTAGTTGCTGCATTATTTGTTGTTGCTCCTCACAGATTCAACAAGTTGGGGAAATTATATCCGCTGTGTATTGCTCTATTAGAGTTGTTACTATTAATTGTTGTTGAATTTTCCATCAGAGTGGCATCAGAGCTCTTTGGTTAAGGGGCTGTTTGACTTGTTTGAATGATGGAGACAAATACAAATAGAATGATTTCTTTGAATGACACTAATTATCATTTGTGGAAGGGAAAAATGAAGGATTTGTTATTTATGAAAAATATGCATCTTCCTGTGTTTGCTAGTGAGAAGCCGGAATCCAAAACTGATGAAGAGTAGAATTTTGAACATCAATAGGTTTGTGGTTTTATTCGGCAATTTGTAGAAGACAATGTTTATAATCACATTGCTAATGAGGAACATGCCAAATCCTTGTGGAAGAAGATTGAATCTTTGTATGCTTCTAAATCAGGGAATAATAAGTTGTATTTGTTGAATTCCTTGATGAATTTGAGGTACAAGGAGGGAACTTCTATTTATGATCACTTGAATGATTTTCAAGGGCTCCTAGATCAATTGTCAGGTATGGGTATCAAATTTGATGATGAAATTTTGGGACTATGGCTATTGAATACTCTACCAGATTCTTGGGAAACTTTTCGGGTTTCAATTACAAACTCAGCTTCTGATGGTGTTGTCTCTTTGCAAAGTGTAAAGGAAAGTGTTCTGAATGAGGAGATGAGAAGGAAGACGCATGGTACTTCATCTCATTCTGAGGTACTTGTCACTGAGAACAGAGGCAGGAGTCAGAAAAAGGAACCTAAAGGGAACCGGCAAAATAGCAGGAGTGCGAGTAGAGACAACAACAGAAGTAAGTCCAAGTCTAGATACAAGAATGTTGAGTGCAATCATTGTCACAAAATGGGGCACATACAGAAAAATTGTTTCATATGGAAAAGGGAGAACATAAACAATAATAGTAAGCAGAGAGATAAGAATCATGATGATAATGATCGTGTTACTACTGCTACTTGTGATGATCTGATTATTCTCCGTGACCATGATTCAGTCAATCTTGTATCAGATGAGAGCATGTGGGCTGTTGATAGTGCTGCTACACTGCATGTTACACCAAGGAAGGAGTTCTTCACATCTTACACTGCTGGTGACTTTAGAGTGTTGAAGATGGGTAATGATGGTGTGTCCAAGGTAGTTGGTATTGGTGATATTTGTTTGCAGACCAACATGGGAGTGCAGTTGTTGCTGAGAGGAGTCAAACATGCTCCAGATGTTCGCTTCAATTTGATTTTTGTGCATATGCTTGATGAAGGTGGTTATGATAATCATTTTGGTTCGGGAAAATGGAAACTCACCAGAGGTAACTTGGTTGTGGCTAGAGGGGAGAAAGATAATAAACTGTATTGGGCTAAAGCATTGGTTGCTAAAGACAGTGTGAATGTCATGGATATGGAGGCTTCTTTGTGGCACCGCAGGCTTACTCATATCAGTGAAAAGGGGCTGAATTGTTTAGCTAAAAAGGATGTGCTTCCGGGATTGAAGAGTGCAGAGTTGGAGAAATGTTCTCATTGCATGGCTGGTAAGCAGACTAGAGTATCCTTCAAGAAGCATCCTCCCTTAAGGAAGTCAGAGTTGCTTGAATTGGTGCATTCTGATGTTTGTGTCCCGTTGAAGGTAAAGTCATTTAGTGGTGCACTTTATTTTGTTACCTTTATTGATGATTGTTCCAGGAAGCTTTGGGTCTATGCTTTGAAGACAAAAGACCAAGTTCTGGAGAAATTCAAAGAGTTCCATGTTATGGTGGAGAGACAGTCAGGCAAGAAGCTGAAATGCATTCGTACTGACAATGGTGGTGAGTATTATGGACCATTTGATGTTTATTACAAGCAGCACGGTATCAGACATGAAAAGACTCCTCCTAAAACTCCTCAGCTGAATGGTTTAGCAGAGAGGATGAATAGGACTTTGATTGAAAGAGTTAGGTGTATGCTTTCAGAAGCAAAGTTGCCTAAACATTTATGGGGTGAAGCATTGTACACGGCAGTGCATGTTATTAATCTGAGTCATGCGGTTGTTTTGAATGCAGAGGTGCCAGACAAAATTTGGTTTGGCAAGAATGTCAAATATGATCATTTGCGTGTCTTCGGTTGCAAAGCATATGTTCATGTCCCAAAGGATGAGAGATCCAAGTTGGATGCGAAGACAAGGCAATGTATTTTTATCGGGTATGGTCAGGATGAATTTGGCTATAAGCTATATGATCCAGTTGGGAAGAAAGCTGTTAGAAGCCGTGATGTGAAGTTCATGGAAGACCAAACCATTGAAGACATTGATAAGATGGAGAATACTACACCAGAGATTGATAATAGTTTGTCTGATGTTGATCCAGTTCGGAGGCCTGTACATGATCTGGATACTGCTGAAAATAATGTTCAGAATGATGAGCAACATGATGATGTTGGTGACCAGCAGCTTGGAGATAATGTAGATATTCCTGTTGATGATGCTGAAGAGGAACATGAGATGTCACAAGATGAAGATCTTGGTGATGCTCCTGAACCACCTCAAGTTCAACTTTGGAGGTCTAATAGGCAGAGGAAACCATCTACCAGGTATCCTTCTGATGACTATGTTACCTTGACAGATGAAGGAGAACCTGAGTGTTTTAATGAGGCCATGGAGAGTGATGAAAAGAAGAAGTGGCTGGATGCTATGCAAGATGAAATGAAGTCTTTGCATGATAATCACACTTTTGATTTGGTGAAATTGCCTAAGGGCAAGAAGGCTTTGGAAAATAGGTGGATTTACAGGGTAAAGCAATAAAGCAATTCTACATCTCCAAGATATAAAGCCAGATTGGTGGTGAAAGGTTTCAGACAAAGAAAGGGTGTTGATTTCAATGAGATTTTTTCTCCTGTCGTGAAGATGTCATCCATAAGAACCGTGTTGGGTTTGGCTGCTACTCTTGATCTAGAGGTAGAGCAAATGGATGTAAAAACTGCTTTCCTTCATGGTGATTTGGAGGAAGAGATTTACATGAAGCAACCTGATGGTTTTCTTGTTAAAGGCAAGGAAGACTATGTGTGCAGATTGAGAAAGAGCCTATATGGCTTGAAGCAAGCCCCGCGTCAGTGGTACAAGAAGTTTGAGTCTCTTATGTGTGAGCAAGGCTACAAGAAGACTACTTCTGATCACTGTGTCTTTGTTAAAAAGTTTGCTGATGATAATTTCATTATCCTGTTATTGTATGTTGATGACATGCTTATTGTTGGGAAAAATATTTTCATGATTGACAGGTTGAAGAAGCAATTGGGCGAGTCATTTGCCATGAAAGACATGGGAGCTGC